TCCTGAAAATGGAATGTTCTACAGAGATCAACCAAGAGTCCATTTTTTGTAAGAAATTGCGTGAGGAATATTTATTAATTTCAGCTTCTATGAAATACTTAAGTACCTATAGGGTGTTCAAAAAGTTTGAATTAAAATTGTGTTTTCAGGCCTTATTTATTTAAAATATTTATTCACCTGTTAAATATTTAAAATATATATAACATTACATAAAATAACAGAACACTTTTTCTATCAGAAATGTGCGGGCCTTGCAGGTACCCGCTGGGCCAATGGCGATATCTTCACCTATAGTATGCATTGTTGCTTATTAATTATGAATTTGGCTAGATATAGCAGCCCTTACTTCTTACCAGGGAGGCATAATTAAGGGATTAAGGATGTCTTGAAGTCAGTAATTGTAATGGTTTGTAGATTTGTCTTGTGTTAGTTATCTTTATTGTCCAATGGGTATCGTATTTTGTCGAATTAGAGTGTTAACTAATAATGACAATTAACTTACATACCTACATATATTTTTAAGTTAAAGTCTTTACAGTAAGGAAAAATATTTAGCAAATTATGTTTTTAATAAATTCACTTTATCACCCTGTAGAATGAAAACTTGGACGTTTACAGGAAAATTATATTTAGCTTTTCCAAATAATTAGTTAAGATCTATAAATCCCCAGTTTACAGTACTTTCTTAAACACCCTATATGTAAAAATAATAAAATTTTACAAAAAGTTTCAAGCATTTACTTACTTATTATTTGCAAATGGTAGGTAATACCGGTTATTTTTCAGACGTAAATAGAAATTTTAAATAAAAATTCTATTTTTTTTAGCACTGTATTTAAAAATAAAGATGAGATGTATTTACTTGTATGTAAATATGTAACCGTAATGGGGTAAAAAATAAGTTAATTATTCGAGATATTTAAAAAAAATTATTAAATATTTGTAAATAATGGCATTGTAGGTAAATATACAAATTTAAAAAAATATATTTTACAGAAAAATATAAAACAATATATTTAAATATTACTTAACTTAAATCATAAAAAAATATAATTTTTGTAAATAGCTTAAAGTTTTTAAACTTTTACGGGGATGGAGCTACTAGTAATTACCATTCATAGCTCCACCCCTATTCGCGATGTTGCCATACTTAGCACGAGCTCTCTTTTTATGTTGTTCTCTCTCGCGCAAAAAATGGGCAAGTGACCCGTAACCATTATGGTTAGCTATAAAAAACGATTTTAGCCAAAATTTTTTCCCCACAAAACTATAAAACTTTTGTCTGAAATGTTTTTTTATAAAAGACTGTATTTAACTGTAACACTTTAATTTGAACACCCGGTATATAACAAAAAATGTAGAATGACGTGTAGTAGAATAAATGAATTCGTCTTATTTCAATTTTAAAATGACACTTTGTTTCTATAATAATGAACGAAATCCCCATTTTGTTTAATTATATTTTGACCACCCTATATATTTATCACAATTCCATCAATTTTCTATAAAACATGCATTGTCTTGAAGTAAATACCTGCCTACTCGTAATTTTTTTCTAAGTATTATTTTTCCATTTTTAAATTGGACGCGCGCGTAGGTTGACACAACAGAAACTATCAGGTATAAAAAATTCGCTGTCGTCAATTATTTAAATAAAACGAAATGGGTACATATCATGCCAGGCGCTTATCTTTATTTACATTGGTAATATGGCGCACCTGAATAGGTGTGTTCGTACATTATCTGTAATGACCTGATTAACATTACAAGAGACGTTACAAAGTTGTTCTCGGGCGCTTGGGTCAAGGTTCAACAATGGAAATGAAATGTGTGGAATCCATTGTGTCGTGATTTACTTTCATCTATTTCTCTTGTACCGACAAATCTATATAGACAATTTCACTCATATGTGAAAAAACATCATTTACTAACACAAAAAAATATAATTTTTTAATTAAAAAATCGACTTCAAAATTGAGAATTTTGATTTTCTCATAGATCATCAGATCCTTACCAATTGTATATGGAACTACCCCTGAGGTATCCCCTTTCTAACAAAAAAATAATCACAAATATCGGACAACGTGATAAGAATTATCGCTAAAAATAGAGTTTGATGATTTTTTCATGTTTAGATTTTGACCAAATTAATATGGGACCACCCCTGATGTACCCCCTTACTAACAAAAAAAAAAAAGAAACATTGAAATCGGACACCGTGTTGAAGAATTATCGCTGAACATACATAAAAAAATATACCGGCGAATTGAGAACCTCTTCCTTTTTTGAAATCTATTAAAAAAGGGAAATAATTCCAACTCACAGTGACCAAGATATAAAAGAAACTAAATAAAAACACAAAGCTATATGTCTCACAAAATACAAGAGACCGTTTCCCTTTGGAAAACAACTACTCCTTTGACTAATACCGCAACAAGTATTGAATTATATCCAAAAGAAAGATAGAGATAGAAATATAATTTCAACACTCTGCTTTTGATTTTCCTTACGATAATTTCATTTTTGGATCGGTTTCCTCTTTATTAGTACTTGAGGACCTATCCATTTCTTGATGATGAATACTAATAGGAACGAAACTAGTCCAAGAATTACATTCTCTTTAGTCAATTAAAATTTGGCAAAAATACAAACCCAAATTAGTTTTGATTTGATTTATTTTTACATTTTCTTGTCTTATTTCACGGAACTCCGACGTAATTTTGTTTGATTTTGTTAAAAACTGCTCAAGAAATATTTTAATTATTAATTAGGTACGACCTAATTGAAAAAAAATTGAGGATCACAGAACAAGAATTCAAATTTCAAATTTATTCTTACACCCCAGTTTGTATACATGTAAATTATATTGTAATTAAAATTAATTAAATTGATAAATAGCTTCTTCGGATGAGGCGTGATCTAGACCTAGTGTCTGTTTTGTCGTAGTCCTCTTCCAAAGTGGCCATATAAAAAGAAAAAAGATAATACAATGTAAACGACACAAATAAAACATGATATACATTTCTTTTTGGTAAGTAAGGCAAAGCTAGAAAATTCGGAGTACTAATTATGTTATAAATAAATAGAAGTATTTATTAAGGAGACATTAAAAGATTTTGAAAATATCAAGGATTTTTTAGAATTAGCTTTTTAACTTCTGTTTTAAATTTAACTGTTTTTTTTTTGGGTGTCATCGGCTTCAACTACCAGGGTTATTTTCGCCTCTGTGTAGGCTTTGTTACTGTTTCCCAGCGTCACTTTAAGAACAGCACTGTTAATTAGAACCCAACTTGATTTTTTTTTTATATTTATAGGAAGTAGGTAAAAAGCTTAGGGCCATAGTAGAGAAAAACTTCTTTGTGTTACCGATTTATTAAAAAGAATAATGTTTAAATTTAGGTTAGTGGCAGCTCTAGTATTTGAAAGTTTTTTTGGGAACTGTTCTTTTTCAAAATACATTCTTAAGAGACATTGGTACGAATATATCTCTCTGCTATTAAATAATTTTGTTTCTTGATAAAGTTCTTCAGTTGAAAATATTCTATTTTTATGAAGTATTATTTTTAGAAGCATATTTTGTGTGGTTTGTAAATTTTACAATGTTGTGGTAAAAAAACCTCCCCAGCTAGTAATACAATACCCAAGCATGTATTCTATTAGGGAATTATACAACATAATTAAGTTTTTTCTGGATAAGATATCTCTGATAATATAATATTTGTGCATTAGCGCTCTTATTCATTTGGTGAGATATGTTACGTGTTCATTCCATCTGGTATGCTGGTTAAACATGATTCCTAAGTATTTGATCACTGTGGTTTTTTCTAATACAGGACACGATCATTTATATTCATCACACGTAGGTTTATGTAGTTTGAGATTTAATATGGGCTGATCCGTTACTGTAGGAGAAAAAGTTATATATTTTGTTTTTCCTATATTTAAACTAAGTAAATTATGATTTAACCAAATTTTTATATTTTTTAAACATGTTTCTGTAGTGGATTAAACTTCATTCCAAGTTTTCCCAGTAATAAGTGCTGTATTATCAGCAAACTAATTTTCTTTTGACATTTTTTTATTTTAAAAATATTATTTACATATATCAGAAATAAAACCGGACCTAATATCGTCCCCTGGGGTACACCTATCTTAACCACTGATTCGGAACTCAATACATCCCCTATTTTAATTGTTTATCTTCTGTTTGATAGATAATGTTAGAAGAGATCTAATACTATTCCTCGAATACCGTAATTATTCATTTTATCTACAAATTTACTATGTGAAACAGTATCGAAGACCTTGGCTAGGTCCAGAAAAATTGCGAGAAATTCGTTGAGCTGTCTAAGGCTCCAATCACGGGTTCTAGCAGGCTCAATATGGCATCTTCGGTACTCGAGTTTTTAATAAAACCGAACTGATTTTTTGAAAGAATGTGATAGTCATCTAAAAATTCAACTAACCTTTTTGAATGCTTTTTCAAATACTTTTGCTAAATTATTTATAACCGATATATGTCTATAGTTAGTCTATAGTTAGTCTTAGTCTATAGTTAGTTAGTCTATAGTTAGTCTATAGTTAGTCTATAGTTAGTCTATAGTTAGTCTATAGTTAGTCTATAGTTAGTCTATAGTTAGTCTATAGTTAGTCTATAGTTAGTCTATAGTTAGTCTATAGTTAGTCTATAGTTAGTCTATAGTTAGTCTATAGTTAGTCTATAGTTAGTCTATAGTTAAAGGATGATTTAATTAAATATACTGTTTCTATTTGAATATCTTGCCATTCCTATGACGTATTACGATTTTAGCGGGAAATTTAAATTTTACATTAAAATCACATTTGATTTTACCGCTATATCGAGTTATTTCCACGGCTAGTCACCTTGGCGCTAGAAATTTACTTTCATCTCTTTAACAAGTGAGATACACTACTATTTTGGGATGTCTAATGCACAAACGTTGTAATTTTTTGAGTCATACAACAAAGTAGGTACTTACTTTGGCTGTAACTTGGCTTTTCTCGGCCGACACGCCGTCGAATTCGACTCTGGCTCGCGTCGCTGCCGCTGCGTTGTTTTCCTCGTACGAAACGTCGCCTGTGCGTATTTTCTTCATCTCGGCTACTTTAGCGCTCTCCTTTTCGGCGCTGACACCGTCCTTCATCACCTGCAACACGACGACAAAACGAAAATACAATTACGCCTTAATTTTATCCACCTATCATTTTAAACTGCAATTTATTCCCGTGAATTATTTTTAGCAGACGGTCGTTTACAGTGGTGTGGTAAGAAATTTGACATGGGAGTAGTTCTATGGAATCTTCAACAACATCCATATCACACGTGACTAAAGCGATGCCATCAATTGGATATATATTATATATTATTATTTTTTTTTTAATACAGTTACATAGTTATACAGTTATATAGAAAAGAAAAGGAGACAAACAATCAATTACAACATTGACATGTATAAATCAAAATTATTTCCAAAAATATTTTTACATTCTCTGGAAAAATGTTTTAATTGTTTTGATATTTCTGACTTGCAAGGGAAGTGAACTGTACATTTTTGGCTAACATTCCTGTTAACAAATGAAGTTTTATAATAATTTCTTTGGAGTGTGTTATGTTCATGTGATGCAGTTAGTTTTAATCTAGTATTTTTTATAATAAAAGATACATACCGCGTAAAAATATAATAATCCAACATTTAAAATGTCACTGTTATACAGAAATAATGTAGGCTATCTGATACTTTGTTCGTATATTATCTTTTATGTACTTTTGAATTAGGTATATTTAATAATTTCAGTAGTAACTCTAAAACAACGTCACTCCCCTATTTGATAGATGTTATAAATGTCACCACGATCGGTTATTTTCATTAAATTTCTTGTTTTACCAGATAACGTGGAGATATGAGTATTGTTGAAGACTCATATAAGCAAGATCAAATATTTTTATTAAAACAAAGTAAATAAAATAAATCATTTTTTATAAAACGATAAAAAAGTGAATGAAAACTAATAAATAATACATGACAGATAAAATTTACACTATGTAAAAAAATTACAAATAATAAAAGTAGAATTCAGTTTTGGTGACATTAATTTAAATGTAATTTTTGGCAACTTCACCAAGGACTTAAGTTATCGATAAATTAGTTTGTCTATATATACAGGGTAATCTTTTAAAGTGAAAAAGCTCAAGCAGCATTAAACTTCTTATTTTAAAATTCTTTTCGAATATACACGGTGTTCCCACATTTTAATATCATTAACCCTTTAGAAAAGTCCATTTGTACCGTTAAGAAATACTTATACAGTTATTGAGAAATTTAAAAATAAAATTTTCCCCTAAAACTAAACCAGCAACATTTTTATAAGGCATGTTGGACTAAATCTCTTCATATTTTGTTTCTTACTACAAGTCAGAGTTTGCCCATTCTTGATGAATCACCCTATACAAGTTTGGAGCAAGAGGAATAGCCCATGATAGACTTCAATCTGTTAAAATCTTAATTAACAGGCATTTATATAAATCTACTCAAATTAATAATAAAATCGAGTCCCACAAGGATCAGTATTGGGCCCTTTCTTGTTTATTCTGTATATCAATGAATTATCTCTAGTCTTACCGGAATCATTTACATCTTTTTATGCTAATGAATCGACATTAGTATTTAGTAAGATCTTAAAAACAAAATATCAATGATGCTTCATTGTAATATTTTAATCTTGTCTCATCTCTTTAGATATCAAAGATCAATAAAGAATTGAATTGTACACATGTAGAAATAAACTTAACTTTTTGTAGCAAATGGTAGGGATCAATTACAATAAGAAGAACACAGCTACGTCATCATTTGGCAAAGTAATTAATTGGCTCTCGCCGCCTACTTAGTGTTAATATTATAGGAATTTATTTATTGATAGTTATAGATACTATGTAGTTTAGTTTACTAGTTCACATTTAATTTTTTCACCGAACCACAAAATAATTTGATTACGGAGAATTCATTGACTTTCAAAACAAAACAAAAACATGAATTATAATTATTTGTCTGTTACTTCAATTATTGTAGTTTCTTGCTCCCAAAATTCTACAATATAGTGACGACGTTTTACACCTCTAGGAGTACCTCCCTACAACAATAAATAACACAGGTTTACAAAAAAAAAGTCCGGACTATTTGACCGGAGCATGGTATTCCTAGGTATTTTGGCATCCTGAATCCGATCCCGAGGTCAATTTTGTTCCAACACGTCAGAAAACCCAGATTTCAAGGTTATTTAGAGGTTAAAATGATGCTTTTTGGGAACCGGCCCCGGGACAATTTCTCAAGCGATCTATTAAGTTAAGGGGTAACTGTCTAGGTCGTGAATACCTTCCAAACATTAGACAGGGGCCATGAATCTTGACCAGGGACAGCCCAGTGGATAAAATGTTACCGTGTTGATTGTATCTCGCGAATGTCGATCTCCTTGCCAAGGTGTTCAATTTCGGCAATCCATTTGCTGTGAGATAATGCCAGTGGATCCAGCACTGACCCAAATGGCCCTAGAACCTTGCCAGAACATTGGAAACAAATGGAAAATATGTACGGATTTGAAGGTGGTAACAATACTTTTGGGACAACAGAGTGGATTTACAAAATACCCTTGTTTTTTTTTGTAAATGAGACAGTCGAGCTCGTGATAAGCATTACCAAAAGAAGGTTTGGCCATCAACGGACAATTTTGTTGTGGGTCAGAAGAACATATACCAAGTGAAATTAGTTGATCCGAAAAGTATTTTACTACCTCCTCTCCATATTAAATTAGGGTTGATAAAACAATTCGTCAAGGCTCTTAAGAAAAGAAGTAGCGAAGCCTTCCAATATATCTACCAGAAATTCTCAAAGGTGTCAGATGCTAAAATCAAAGAAGGGATTTTCAATGGGCCGCAAATACGAAAACTTATAAAAGATACAGAATTCCCGAAGAAGGTGGCGGTAGATGAGAAAGAAGCATGGAAGAGCCTCGTGAATGTTTTTCAGAAATTTGTTGGAAATACTAAAGACTCAAACTATATGGAATTGGTAAAGGGCTTGCTCCAGAACTATAAAGCCATTGGATGTTTGATGAGCTTGAAGGTCCACTTCTTGGATTCGCATTGGAAGAAGTTTTGCTCCAACCTGCAGACCCCATAAACAAGCACGCAAATATTGAGAAATTGGGAGGGAAAAAAGTGAGAGGCGAGGGGATTCACTATAAACAAGCACCTTAAAGGGAACAGTATCTGCAACATCCCCGTCGTTGTTCCTGGGTAATGCTAATACGAGGGTATATAAAATATAAACGCGACTGTTTCGATTAAAAATTCCTAAACGGCTATTGATCTGGAAAGAATTCATGGGCAGCTAGCCTTTACCTCTGGGGAGGGGACAAAACCAAAATTCGCTCGCGTCTCTTTGGTATAGCAACGGATTATAACAAAGTTTTTGGCAAAGGAGGGCATAAAAACAACCGAAATTTTGCAACAATTGCAGGCACAGTTTGGGGATAACACTCTGTCGAGAACCCGTGTGTTTGCATGGCACCAAGAATCTGGAGGGCCTGAAAAGGTACATCTGTAAAAGCAAAGACGCGATTGTCAGCCGGAAAGGTAATGGCAACAATATGGCTAAATTGTCATTTCGAAGAAAAAGGAAGAAGAAATTGGTCAGAAATTTCATTCTTTTGCATGACAACGCCAGACCTCATGGGAAATACTGGAACATCCTCCCTATAGTCCAGACCTTTCCTCTTGTGACTTTTATCCTTTTGGACCCCTCAAAAAATCGCTTGGAGACCAGCGTTTCGACGATACCGAAGCGATGAAAGCATTTGTGCTACAGGAACGTCCAAAGAGTTTCTACAATGCTAGGATAAGAAAGCTACCAATCCGATGGGAAAAATATATTTCTAGGGGGGAAATGTATGTAGAAAAATAATGTATGTTTGAAAACTTATTTAAATAAAGCTAAACATTTTTACAAAAGAAATCCCGTTTATATTTGATACACCCTCGTAGCAGAACTGAGTTTTTCAGCAGACTCAAAGGCCCAGTTGTACCATTTGAGTTCAGGCGAGGATCAACTAAACTTGGTTTTGATTGTGACATTTAGGTATAGTTAGTACGACGTTTGTCACAGTCTAAACCAGGTTCAGTTGAACCTCCCTTAAACTGGAGTGGTACAACTGGGCCTAAGTCATAATCGCAAATATTGTATGATAGCCACACCAATTCATTTGGTAGAATATGACGTCTTATCAGAGGGATTGAATTCCAATGGCCTGCCTCAGAAGAACAAAGGTGGCAAACTCTGAAGTTGTGAGTTGGGATCCTCGGGCCATTTTCTGCAACCTTAGTTTGCCCCGGACAGTACACTCAGCTTCACCCAATTTTTGGACGATGTTCTAGGAGCACTTTGAGAAGTGATGGCATTAACTGACGAAAACTCAATCGCCAAAATTCTACGTGTTGGCAAGGGAAGCAAAATTCACGAGCTCGAATACCTCGAACCACTTGAGCATAACTCCAATGTTCTGGCACAGTTTATTGCTAAAGAATCAGTTAGCTCACTCAGACTAGTTGAATGTTCCAAAATAACATCCACTCCAGGAATACAAATTCAGGATGCGCAGAAGACTGCTATTTGAATATACGCGGTTATCATATACTGTAGGTGAGTTCGGGCTACGCACTCTTTTCACACTATTCACTCCTAAAGTACCTAAGGCGTTCGGGAACGGAAGGAGTTAAAATAAAAGTTCCTTTTTGACCGTTCGGAGATCACGGAGTGGAGTGTGAATCGGGCATGCGCAGAAGGTGATTTAAATCGATAAGATAATTGTTACTGATTCTTTAGTAAAAAGCTTTTTATTTGGTTCCCTTGAATATCATTAATATGGAAGAAACTTATACGGTTGTTACTGATAAGTACGATTAGATTTTAGGGTATGTCACATTGACAACTGACATTGCACTCCGAGAGTAAAAAGAATAAAATCATATGCGCACTCTGTTTACGCCTATATACTCCACTTTACTCTAGAGTGCGCAGCCCGAACTCACCTTGCATTGGTTATGATTTGATTCTGTATGCACCAGGGATACAAATCCGAGTTGCGCAGTATATAAACTGGAACATTGAGATCAAAAGTGCCGACGCAGAGTGAGCGAACTGATTCTTTACCTATAAACTGTGGTTCTGGCAAGGTTCTAGGGTCATTTGGGCCAGTGCTGGATCCACTGGCATTATCTCACAGCAAATGGATAGCCGAAATTGAACACCTTGGCAGGGAGATCGAAATTCGCGAAATACAACGATCATGACAACATTTTATCCAGATGGCTGGTCCTGCGCTGGTCCTGGTCGAGATTTGGGGACCGTTTCCAATGTTTGGAAGGTATTCAAGACCTACACAGTTACCCCTCAACCTAACAGATCGCTTGAGAAATTGTTTCGGAGCCAGTTCCAAAAATCACCATTTTGACCTCTAAATGACCTTGAAATCTGGTTTTTCTGACGTGATGAGGCAAAACTGACCCCGGGATTGGATTCAGGACGCCAAAATACCTAGGAATACCATGGTTTGGTCACCGAACTTTTTTTTGTAAACCTGTGTAATTAATATTTTTTAAAAACCAGATGACCAAAAAATTTTTGTAGGTTATGTTTTAATCAACCTCAAAGTTGCAGGTGCAGAAGGATCTACCACCTTGGAGTTTGGAGATACGTTTGTGTTTTTTTATTAAAATAAATAAATATTTTATATATTTTACAGTTTTTATATGTTCACTTTATTTAATAAACGCATACTATCCAAATACTGTCAATTATTACCTTTATTTTTTGATATTTTAGACTAATTTATATAAACAAACTAATTTCTAATACTTTTCAATAAATATTTTCTAGAACTACAATTAGCAAAACACCCACACGTTTCCTAAAAGGAAACATAAGTAGGTGAAAAGGTAAATAAGCAGAGTCGTATTAATTTATTTTGAATAAACATTAAGTGGTATTATTTAAGAGTGAAATTCTATTAAAAAAGGGTTTTAGAATAATGTTTTGTTACTTTTTTTTATTAAATTTAAGCTTTAATACATCCTGACATGAGCTGATTAGATTTTAGACATAGTCGAACCATCTGGGAGGTAGGTACAAAGATTAATTTTCGTACTTCAAGCAATATTTCTATTATCCATAATTAAAGAAGAAAATTGTTCAAATAAAAGTTGTTCATGATATCATTCTCTATATTTTTTGTTATGTACATAATTTTCCTAAAATGAACCGTAATGGAGAAATTTTATATTTTTTCTCAATGGCAACGAGGAAAAAATATTTCGAATAAAATTTGTGGAAATATTTCATTATTAATTCAAATTTTAACCATTTTTTAATATTTACTCAGATATTTTATTAGAGAATGACAGACAGTAAATAGGTAGATAATCATCATATAATACAAGGCTCCTTACATATAAGAGGCTACAGAAACAGTAAAATCATGCTTAACACAGACAAGATTCTTCTGTGAAGATAACCATTGTTTCTGCAGGTATTTATAAAGAAATAAGCATAAGACAGACTGTAATAGTACAGCTATGATGCCATGAACACAAAAATTTGTACATAACCTCATGCGATCATGTTAACGTAGGTATATAAGGCAGACATTCGAAGTGACAGAGTTGAGCTTTGACGATAATACGTTGGTCTTGGGAACAGGGGGAATTGGTATCACAGGGTGATGTCATAGATGTACAATTGCAACGTTTGAAATGTACCTCCTCGAGCAAATCAAGTAGATTTTTTGGTCACGTGACATCGAGTAAACTATATCAATGGAGCAAACGGAGGTTGGATTTATTAAAAGAACTGTATCGAGTAAAAAACATCAAAACGAAGTACTTTTTAAACATAGCAATCATGATGCATTGGAGAATAAGGATAAGGACATAGGGTAAATGGTATCACTGTTTGAGTTGACAGATGACGTATTTGACACAATGGGGAATTGGTATCACTGAGTAAAGTTGACAGATGACGCAGTTTACAATTAACAGGTAGCATGACAGGTGCCAGAGAGAAATGGAGATATGGGATAATTGTTACCACTGTTTTTAAGTTGAAGACGTATTTGACAGGCAACAAAAAATACCTTTAGTATACGGATCTCTAATAAAAATGACGAGGAATTCGAGGAAGGACGTTTTATATTTTTATTTACGACACGGATACATTACAAAAAAAAAATTATTATCCACCTGTTCAAAACAAACAGACGCACCTCTATCATCCGCATTTGCTTAAATTAACAAGTTGTTTCTTAAACTATAAACTTGTTAATTTTATTTTTAAACAAACGCGATTCTCTATTGGCAACGCTTCGTTTGTTTTGCACGAAAATAAAACAGAAATCCCAAGTCGATGACTCATTATACTTTAAATTCCGATAAACTTATTCATTCAATACATTATATTTTGTATTTTTAGTGATATAACAGGTAAATTACCTGTAAATTAGTTTTTGAAAATTATCGAAATTATGTAGTCCCAGAACACACGAGGTATTTAATAAAATTGTAATTTTCATTGACCTTTTTTGATACTTGTATGCAGGTCTCATCAGAATTGACGTTTTTCTAACCTTAATTTTGTTTTCATCTTTTAAATGTTTAGTTTTTTTTTTAATACTTTCTCTCTATTGACTTAATTAAAAAAATTATAAATTTCAATTATTGGTAATTTTAATATTAATTCTTTGAATTATATTTAATTTCGAGATACTAATTTGTGATTTTTTTAATTTCTTGGATGATTATTATTTAGTTTTCTATACAATTTTTTTGTTAAGAATTTGATTATCTATTTCGATCTTTTTCTATATATATTTTTAATAACATAACATAGTAACACAAAGAATACTGCAAGGACCAATACTCGGCCCTCTTTGATTCGTAATTTACGCACTCACCTTGGTATGCGTGAAGTTGTTCATGGTTTTCTGTTCGAACTTGAGGGTGTCCAACGTGTTGGTGGGCGAGCTGACTTCGGAGGGTACAGGGGTATCGTCGGGAAAAGTCACGATGGGATCGCTGTCGTCGTCGGCATCCACCAAATTTTCCAACGAATTTCTGAGTTGGATCAAAGTGTTGGGTAAGCTGCTCTTCATATCGTTGATGTTGTTTTTGAAGTCGACTAGGTCGTTTTTCATATTGGACGCCTGTAATTTCAAATAAGTTACAAAAATAAACAAGGAGCAAATATTATTGTTGCAAAATAGGGAATAACTTATATAGATAGTAGATAACGAAAATGAATGCCCTCTTGGTAATATTACTGCCCTTTTTTGACAAATATGACATAAAATATAACATTTAGAATGATGAAATATTTTCTTCGTTCAAATCGGACCAATAATAACGAAGATATAGACAACGATGTAAATATTACTGGGCATTTTTTTTTTTTGTTAAAATACACCATGTCCATATTTTACGTTGAATGTTATTTGTTTTATTCGAATCGGACCAATAATAACGAAGTTACCTTTTTGTATATTACATTATCGAATTACCCCCGTATTTGGCGATTAGCGATAGATAGACGATGTATAATAACATCATTCATCTAGCGATGATTAAATGAAGTACTAGTTGATAAATGACAGGTGGCGCCTTCTAGAGTAAGTGAAGTACTCATTACAGCGTTCACGTGAACGATCCTCTCACTCGTATACATTGATTTACCTATACCTGTTCTCCCCTCGTATCGTAGAAAAGGTTTTAGACATTTTCATAAATTTCACCCTGTATATTATTGACATTAAAATCATCCAGAAGAATGTAAAGGGCCGAAAGGTAACATATTTTTACAAACAAAATAAATTCATATCACTAATCCCCTGATATTCAGACATTTAAAAGACAAACAGGACTTTTTAAAATACTTTCAGGTCACCCTAGGCATTCCTAATTTTAAGGTGCTTTTTAAAATTATTAAAAGCCAATCCAGGCTTTTTTAGAGACTAAAATTTTACTTCAGAATTTTTTAGACAATTTGATATCACCAAAAAGCTTTAAAGCAGTTTTTCAGACAATTGTATTTTAAGCGTTTTAGGTATTTTAAAGGGGCTCCTGAAATTTTCAGACATTTTAAGACACATGCCTATTCAAGTAAAAGTTTTAAATATGCAGAATTATCAGCATCCTGTGCTTATTTAAACAAATAAAGTTATTCTAAGCTTTTTAGGACACTTTAAAGAACTTTTCAGACACATTCTAAGTTATGTTTTAAACCTTTTAAGAATGTTCAAGCATCTCAATGCCTATGCCTTTTTAATACTTTAAAAATTGTTCTAAGCTTTTTCAGACATTCCAACGCCACTACAGGTTCTCCAGGCAGTTTGTAGCAATTTTAGGCTTTTTTTCAGGCACGAATCTTTCCATGTACTTTTAAAACAATCAATATCTTTTTAGTATATTTTAAGGATTCTATAAGTACTCCTGGAGTTTCCAGACTGAAGTTTTAGATATTTCAAAGTCCCTGCAGGTTCTTCAAACAGTTTTGTAGCAATTTTAGAGTTTTTTTCAGACACTAAGATTGTCACCATATACTTTTAAATCACTTAATAACCTTTTAGGATATTTCAAGAACTCTGTAAACATTTTAAGATACTCCTGGAGTTTCCAGATTGTAGTTTTAAACATTTGAAAGTCACCACAGGTTTTTCAGACAATTTTGTAGCAATTTTAGGTTTTTTTCAGGCAATAAAATGATCAAATGTCTTTCCATTTATTTTTAAATCACTCAATACCTTTTTAAAGATACTCCTGTGGTTGTCAGACTGAAGTTTCAGACATTTTAAAGCCACTATAAATTCTTCAGACAGTTTTGTAGTAATTTTAGTTCTGTTTTTCAGGCACTGAAATTGTCAAATGTCTTTTCGTATTCATTTAAATCACTCAATACTTTTTAGAATATTTTAAACACTCTGTAAAAAATTAAAGTTACAACTGGAGTTTCCTGTGCCTATTTAGGCAAATAAAGTTATTCTAAGCCTTTTAGGGCACTTTAAAGAACTTTTCAGACACAAGTTATGTTTTAAACATAACCTTTTAGGAATGTTCAAGCATCTCAATGCCCATGCATTTTTAATACTTTAAAAATTATTCAATTTTTTTAGGTTTTGTAGCAATTTAAACCTTTTTGGTTATTTTAAGAAATACTGAATTTTCCAGAGGAGTTTCAGACATTAGAAAGCCACTATAGATCCTGTAAACAGTTTTGTAGCAATTTTAAGGTTTTTTTTCAGGCACTATGATTGTCTTTTATACTTTTAAGTGATGTCCAAGTTATTTTAGACATGTTAGAGCTCCTATAGACAATTCATGGTAATGTCAAGCTATTTTTAGAAACTGTAAGAACCATATAGATTGAAAAAAGTTTGTTATGTACTTACTTTTAGATCTGTAGTTATTTGTCTTCGTTGGCTTGTAGCAGAGGAACTGCTTGATACTTTGCTTACTCTGGTGGTCGTGGTACTTGTTTGGTTCGTCTGCAACTAAATGAATTATTTATCGGTACCTTTTTAAAAGCATTTTAAGGTTATTTATTAATAAATCTGTATACTTTTATTTGTGAACTTTTAAACAACGACAAAAAATAAATAGGAACAATAAGACGAGTGAGTGACAAGAATATAACAACCACTGTTTATATAACCAACCTACTTTTTTAATAAAATAAAAATCACTGCAAATTGTTCTGTTATTATAAAAAGTTACACTAAAATTAAATCGTTTTAATTATTTTTAAATTTTATTATTATTTTGTTAAATTAGGCGTTAAAATAAATGAAATAAAAGAAAAGCGCGTGATAGATTCACTTGTTAGTGTTCGTTGTCGTACTGTACTGGCTTCATTTAGACCGCGACTTCTATTTAAAAATTAGACAAAGTCGTGAGACATCCGCGTATTTTTGGTGTTATGATTCTCAGTTTAGTGTAAGGTTTTCCGAAACGCTGGAAAACTGCCAATGACAGTGATAGTTATATTGTTCATGGGAATCTACGCAGTGTTGGAGACTAGTTGGAAATAAAACAGAAAGGATGATATTTTGGACAATCTCTTTATACAGTGTAACGTGTGATCTAAATTATTGAAAATGTCTCTATCATTCTTAATTGGGAAGCACTTAAGGTGGAGGTAGTCAAAAATATACAGAATATACACGCATTGCAGGATCCACGGGTAAAAGTTCTTGCATCTTCCTGATATGGTAAGGATACATCAACTGTTCTTTTAAAACCTCATGAACAGCATTTTTGAGATTGTCATGTTGTGTCCTACATGTCTAGTACTAACTGTCGGATGGTGTTCGATAGAAATTAATATTTGTTCCTCAACTTTTACAGTTCTTGTCTAACGCGTTTTCCCTCGATCCATATTCCTTGATCCAAATCTGCCATTTTCACGAAAACCATAGTTTTCTATTTAATATAGGAAAAATATCCGTATATTTATAATGGTTACAATGAAATTCGCATAGAGTGTAATTAAAGTTTCTCACCCTGTATCTTTAACCGATCTAATTTCAATTTCTATATGGAGCTCCACACCCCGTATACGGACGGTATTAAATTGTTTTTCCAGTCATTAGATATTGCATTTAACGCCCACAAATCTGCTTATAAAATCAATAATGAAAACTAGAAAGTTTTATATTTTATCTAACACGACACAAGTGAAGCTCCTCGAACAATGTAAATAAACACAACTTATTTATTAAGCAGTCGATTAAATTGACATTAATTGTCAATTTACCTCGTTTATCTTTTGTTATTGCACTATTGCATAATGACTGAAACAATGATATTTTTCCGACATGGTTAGGCATCAAGGTCACATTTCTATTGTACGTTTATATATTTAATTATTTCATTTTATACCTGTATGTACCTAAATTTTCAGTATCTTTCTCTGTTATGTTCATTTAAACATTCGTTAAAAACTCTCTTCCGTTTGTCCAATATAAATCTTCATTTCCTCCAAGATCGAACTCTAGATTTTATATCTGTCATTGTTTAATTTTTATGTCGTGTTCTTTTAATCTATTTTTAAATTTTCTTGCTGTCTGACCAATGTAAATATTGTTTTTATCCAGGATGTATCCTTATTTACTGTCACTGCTGATCTAAAATTCATTGATGAATGTTTTCCTATGAATTTTTAGATATAGTTATTTAGTTATTACACGGAAATAAGACAAGTGTTATATTTTTGCTTGTATCAAAACAAAAACTTGGCACTTTATTCTAATAGTCATATAAAATACTCGCTACATGTAATTTTCGGAAATGTTATTAATATTTAATAAAAAACCGATCTGATACAAGATGATAATACAGGGTGATAGTTCTTTCTCTAGAACAATACAATGATGAATGTGTATACAGGATCTCTTGAGACTCCAAATTGTTCATTACTAATATGCTCAAAGAATGGAAAAAAATATTCAAGAAACCCCTCAGTAATTTAACAGATAATCCACCAGATATCATGCAGGCATTGACAGACCATTTTTCAAATAATTTCACATTATCATCGGGGATTAATGCATTCTAATCCAGCAACTTCTGTCAATTTGCCTGTTTTATCTATAAATTAAGTATCTGAAAAATAAGTTCAGATACTATAAAAATATTAAAGCCTGATTACATCCCTTTCTTCTTAATTAAAGATTGTGCGCACATTCTATCAACCTCATTATGTACTATTTTTAATTTTATATTGAAAACTGCCATTTTTCCTGAGCTCTTGATGTCATGATGTTATCTCGAGTTATACCAATACATAAAAAAGGAACCAAAGATGATCTTGATCACTATAGATCCGTTAGCATAGATAAAGTGTACAGCTTGGTGTGGAGTTACCAGTCAAGGCATAATTGGAACTTTCTTCTTCGAAGATGAAGACGACAAGGCTGAGACTGTTACTGGAGAACGATACAGAGACATGCTCCAAAATTTTGTACGGCCTACTCTAGAAAACATGCTAGAGATGTGGTTTCAGCAAGATGGCGCTACTGCCCACAGACCAGGGCAACCATAGAGCTCCTAAGAGAAATTTTTGGCCACCAAATAATTTCAAGAAATTCAGATATTTCGTAAATAAAATCCCAATTTGTCAAAATACCCTTACTATGTTTTTTTGCTGTTCATATTCATAGAACAGATTTGTAAAAATTATACCCAATTATTCCTAAAGAAAAGAATAAAATTATTATGATTGCGAAGTCTTAAAACAAGTGGTTCTAAACCATTTCTATGGATTACCATTGTTTAATATTTGATAGTTTGATTGTAACAGTTTTTTTTTAATAAGTAATATTATTATTGTACGTGTACCAAGGAGCTAGGTCAAATAATTTTATCCAAATCCCAGGTGTACCGCAAGGTTCAGTCCTTGGGCCTCTGCTTTTCATAGTTTTTATTGGCGTAATTATTAGGAAAAGTACAAACGTAAAATATTTAATTTTTTCATAAATATGGACTAAAAAGAATTACACAATGAATAATACCATTTCAAATATCCTAAACAATTTAGAACATTTTTGAAATTTTGCATCAAATATTTGCTAGAAATATTGAGTATTTTGAAATTATCTACTGGAAAATTGTAAAATACGTAAATGTTTAGAAGTGGAGGGGAAGGGGTTGACAAATGACAGATGTCTGTATTGTAAACATGTGTTTAATTTGGAATAAAAATCGACCTGTTTTAGCATTTTCTTAAAATCCAATGATTAATGCCGAAAAACAGTATGAAACGGTTTTGAGTAACCCACTCTGTATATTAAAAATGGCTAGATTTATCAAATTAGTTTATAAAACAAAATCTGCTTAAAAATGCATTTTTTACAAGATGCGCCATATAAAAAAGATCCTCAAATCAAAAAAAAAAAAAATTGAGCGCAGCGCCATCTACATATTGAACTATTTAAAATTAATTTATATCAAGAACTGAAGCTCTCTTAGTGCTCTATGAACTGGCTTTTACAGAATTAAAATATCTCTATTACTTACCAAAATATCCGTCCTGGAAGTTTTTATTGGTACACCCTATATATTCTAAAAGTATTATTGAATTTTGAAAAAAAAAATTTTTTTTAATGTGATTTTAGAAATAAATATAATAAACAATTGACGAAAAATGTAAATCATTCAAAAACATATTGATTTCTATACGATTTACTTATCAAGTAACTGCACAACACAATATACAAATAAAAAAAAATTATGAATCATATAGTAAATTATTATATTCAAATCCGATTGTGTGATTCATCAATTATTAAATAATTGCATATAACTAAATTTGGACATAACCGATTACATCTCTGATAAATAATAATATGATGCCGCGACAAATTCAATAAAATTTGCTATAAACCTATAAAAACTATGTAATCCGAATAAATTATTTTGAGTTTTATTGAAAATTTGAATTTCTTATACCGCGCTGCCTGTAAACATTTATATGATTCACTATTTAAACTAATTTTTACCGAGTTGGTTCTAAATATACCGGGTGTTCAAATTAAAATGTTACAGTTAAATACCGCCGAAAATATGCATTTTATAAAAAAAGTTTCAGACAAAAGTTTTATAGTGTTTTAGGGGAAACATTTTGGTTAAATTCATGTTTTTGTAGCTGACCATAATATGGCCATATCGAGGTTAACTTTTTTTTACATATTCTTAAAAATCATAAAAAAATAAGTAACTTTTTAGGAAAAGATTTTTTTTAATTACTTATTGAGTTACACCTACTTGAACATTTTGCTGCGCGAAAAAAATAGTTAGCCATATTATGGTTAGCTATAAAAAACGTTTATTGCCAAAAAAATTTCCCCAAAAAACTATAAAACTTTCGTCTGAAACGTTTTTTAATGAAAGGCGGTATTTATAGTCTATGTTTATGTATGAGAGAGTATTAAAATAATAAAGCGTTCGTAATCCATAGGCGTACCACTTCCTTTAGTAGACAGTTAAAATATTTTTTGAAGTTATTCCTCGAGTATACACTTATATTTTCACCTAATTAACCTGCTTATAACTTCTAAACAGCTGAAGGTAAAAAAGTGCAATTTTTTCTAAAATGTTTTATATTTCCACAAGGTATGTTAAGAACATTGTGTCAAACGAGTTATGAAGGTATAAGGGTTTAAACTTTGACTTTTAAACAACGTTACGTTCATAAATAATAATTTTAATATCAAAACTACTTCTTACCTACAAATACAAATCAGAATCGAAATCAGAAGATGAACTGTCGCAACCAATATTTACAATGAGTGGCTCGAACATTTCATCAGTAATATTGTCCAACTTCCACATTTTCTCTTCTTCTTTAATCGTATGATTTACTGCCTTTTCCCAGTTTTCAAGCTTCACATTATTTACAGCCTCCAAAACAACTGTTTAACATCACTCATTTTAAAAGAATTATTTTTTCTTGAAACTTCTCCCTTTATCTGTGCCCATATCAGTTCAATCGGGT